AGGCTTGCAACCAAATACTGGTAGCAGTGCTGCAATGCAGCCAAAAGGCATCCGTTCGCCCTCCAACTCTGTTTGTCATTCCACTACGAGGGGTTCCAGGCTAAAGCGGACAATGGCAGCTACAGCCAGTACTTTGATAATTAGTTATTGATTGAGAACAATGCCGCAGTGCACTCTAGCATATTAGCCAGACGCCAGCGGGTCGCGACATCAGGGGCACCCATCAAGAAATAAAGGCTACAACATATCTGACTCTCCGATATTTTCTTTTTCTTTCCTTTTCCCCAAGCACGTCAGTGTTCGGCCAGTATAAGGTCAAGAGTACTAATGCTGAAGCATTAACAAGGATCCAGTGAAGGGTGACTGAGTGAAAAACAAGTCACTTTCTGGTTTTGCTATGGGCATTTGAGCTACAGTTGAGATTGTTTTTTTAAAAAGCACAATAAACACAGACCTTAAATGGACTTAAGTAGTATTTGGATGGTAATTGTTTCTCAGTGTGACATCTATAAAAGTGTTGCATGGCTCCTTTGTGATAAAACTTTCAGATGACAATTAATTCACAGAGTATAAATAAGTTATATCAATCTCTATGAACCCAGGAATATACTTCTCACATAACTGATATGACGGCGAGTATGATGATCATACAGTTCTATGAGTAAAATATAAATTATATTTTCTATCTATGGTAGGGTGAATTCAGGTAAATATCCCTTTTATCCTGAACTAACCCTATGTCTGTATAATAAAAGATGTTTATATTAAAATGTAATATACTTTGATTTTATTATATACCTGTTGCTGTCATAATTTTAGTCCATGCCAATAGTTTATACAATTTGCAGCCACATCTTAAATGTATGTGAATAATTTCTGTGATACAAGCCTCCACTGTAGCAAAAATGCCTGCAACTGAACAACATTTGGTAGTGGTCAAAAATTATGGATTGATTTTTCTAGATTATTTCCTGCTTCCACTGCACATAAAACAAGAATTAAATTACCACACAACCCTGTTTTCTTTTTCTTTTTTTTGTCAGAAACAGTAGGTAACTCAGCCAGAAATTTTATTGCAGGTGGTGACAGAAAAACACAGATATGTCCAATTCAGATGCCAATAAGATCACTTACTAACCTCTGAAAATGACAGAATTGCCTTACCTCACCGTGTAAAACTTGAAAGATTAAAGTTTTAAAGTTTTAAACAAAAAAAATGTTTAATTGGAATTTAAACAAAACAATTGTGAAATGTTTTCTCTGTCCTTGCACAAAAGAATGCAACAAAACAAACAAAAAAAAAAAGCATTATGTATTATGCATATATTTCAGTGCCAAGGTAAAAAACAAAAAACAAAACCCTTTAAGCCTTGTCAATAGTGTGTCTATTGGAGTCTAATAGAAGAGGGGCCCTTGTGTCTGCCCGACCCCACCCACGCCCTGTACAGACGCACCTGGCATTAAACTGGTGGGGCGGCGGTGCTGGCTGAACAATGGAAGACTGTCAACGTCGACAGCAGGGCACGGCTTGAGCCTCACCACACTGACAGCCCAGGCCTCAGAGGCTAAACTGCTTTGCTGGAACTAATTAAACAGATGAAATTATGACATGAATATGCAGATGTTGTTTACATTTTACCATATGGCATTATCTCAGGTAATAGCGAATGGGATAGAGAGGTGTCTTCCTCGTCAAGGCGAGAGGGGACAGACTGAGAGAGCCCGGTCCATCAAGACATTCTGTGAAGGGATGAGACAGAAAAATGCTAATTAGTAAGCTGAGGTACAAAAGCGATTGCATGAAGATATACTTTGCCGTCGGAGCAGTTGTGCAGAGGGTAACACATCGCACATGACATACAGTGTATATATATATATATATATATAAGGTGTTGTGCAGACCTAAGTTCGAGTCTGACCCAAAATCATTTACCTCCTCTCTCCCTATGCTTTAGAAAGCCTCTATATATCCTCAATATTATATTATCTATAATAGATAATATTTTATTGTTAAAATATTTTTGCCATTTTATTATATAAGAAAATACAAATGAGTAAACATTTATTTATTCATTTTTTTCATTTATTTATTCATTTTTTTTAGATTTTAACTTTTTTAATAATTATTTTATATTATTTTATAGTTTGAATTCCATTTTATTTTTATTTTAAAGTAATTAAGTTTTTTTAAGTGTGTTTTTGTATTTTGTATTAATTTCTGTTTTTTTTATATGTCTATACAGTTTGTATTCATTTTTATTTCAGTTTTAGTAATTTTAGTACAACAAGTTAAAGTACATGAAAATGTTTTCTTGGCAACTATTTGAAATGAAATAAGTTTAAGTCTTTAATGTTTTATTTTAATTGAGTTAGCATTTATTTTATTTCAAGTAACAAAACTGTTTTTATGGTTTCAGTTTTAGTTAACTATAATACCAGTATAACAGTAATAACAGTAAATACTTTACTGAGGACTAATTTTAACTTGCTGCCATCACTAAAAATTAAATGTTACCAGTATATATGATTGTCTTATTAGCTTTTAAAAACAATGCATTTTCACATAAGATGCAGAACCAAAAGATGCAGCACTTATGTACTTATCTCTATGGAGTTTTGACCTGCATATATGCTAACACAAAACCCACAGCAAAAAAGTATTTTGAATAATGCAAAACACAGCACTAGTATGAGAATATTTGACCCTTTGCTCACAGAACTCGTATTTAGAACTAAACTCGCTCTCTCACTCTCTCAGTGTTTCCCAGTGTTTGTTGAGCCTAATGCTGGCTCCCTGGGAGAGACTGTGAATATCACATATCACATTTCTAGCCTTAATTCAATGTGTTACTTGCCATTTCTTTGCAATTATTTATGAAATTCATGTGTGTGAAAATCTTCTCACTATCACATAGTAACATGTGATGTCTTGATTTTCTAGCTTTTAAATGATTTTAAATAAGTGATTTAGAAAGGACTCTTGCCGTTCGGGTCGCACTCGGGTGTTAAGTCAATACTTCACGGCTGTGTGATGTCTTAATACACTGCCTGTGTTGTTCAGACAGGAAGGCCATGCGTGTTGGAGGAAGGCTACAGCTCCAGCTATTGTGAAGCTGTCATGCCTGCCCCTCAAAAGCAGATGAAGCCATCAGATTATTAATATATGTATAGTGACAGGCCCCCTCGTCTATACCCTCCCAAACATTCCACCCTTACCTCTTTCTGAGTCGCTCAACCCAAACCCAATCAAAAAAATAATATGCTCGCATTCAAAACGAAGGGGCGAGAGGGTGGACTCGGAGGGTCATAGGCCAAATAAATTTTGAAAGCAAATTCTTTTCCCTTTGCAACCTGTTTTTGCTGCTGTCCACTCCCCTTCTCCTCCGTGTCCATTCAGCCACGACATAAAGCTGAATTGGCAGCCGCTTTCAAAGTGGCTGGCAGTGGGGTGATCCCAGAGAGCTGTGGGGCTGACATCTCTCCGAGCGTGTGTATATGGCAGGGTCAGCCATCGCCGTGACTCCTAGGCCTTCGCTCACTCAGCCGCTACCACCAGTCAGTTCTAGGGAACTGAAATTACAATGTGAAAAGCTGGCGGACTGCAGGCATTCTTCACGCCCCCCCATGGCATTTCTCCTTTCTCATGACAGTTCCTCTGAGACTGCTTTTTTCTTTCATGTTTCATTTTCTTTCTCTTTCTCTTGCTCTGATTATTTAACAACATAGAAACAGGGCTGCCAGGGAGCGAGATGCTTGATTGACAGCCGGAGGGAGTACCACAGTCAGCACAGGGTTAAATTCGATTTTCTGCATGTTCACTACTGTTGTCTGGAGGCATTTAATGCCTGTTGTGAGACTTTTTTTTTGATGGATCAATTACCCATTTTAACATGAAGTGTAGCTAGAAACCAAACAGATGAAATGTGAGACACCTTTCATCATTTGCTATTAGCAGAAGGAAATTGAACTGATCCAATGACAGCTAATTAATTCTCTGTCCCAGTCTGTAACAGAAGCATTAGTGGGTTTGAACATTAAAAAATGCAGTAGATTGGAAAAAAAAAAAAAGAAACAAAAAAACAGAACTTGTATAATGACCCAGGATGAAAATCTTGTTCATCTGGAAATGGAATGAAACAAACAAGAAGAAAAAAAAAGATTTTCATATTGTTTTGTAAAGCAAGAAAGGAACATTTATACTAAAACACTTTATTAATAATATAATATAATATAATATAATATAATATAATATAATATTTGTTCACTTTTTGCATATCTACATATGTATATATATATATATATATATATATATATATATGTTCATTATATTGAATAGATGTATTAGATAATTTAAAAGAAATTGGACAAATGTAATAAATACATTTAATAAATTTAATGTTGGTGACAAAACTATTTTATAATGTATGCATTTGTAAATATAATTATCCTGTATTATATATACATACTACATGTATAGATTATAAATGTATAATTTAAATGTATTTTATTAAATGTATTAAAATAACATGCTTAATTCAATTATAAATTGAAATTATGTATTTATTTACTTATATCCACTTAGGTAATATTAATAAATATAATAAAGAATATGAATAAATATTTTATATTTGTATCTTTTTATTTAAATGTTTTAAGTATATTATAATTTAGTATAATCAATTTGACTATTTTATATTGTATATATTGATTAAATATAGTTAGTGTGTATGTGCATATATATATATATATATATACGTGTGTGTGTGTGCATATATATATATATATATATGATGTCTGGCAACAAGATAATTTTATTCAGAAATGTAAACACTGTTGTCATATAAAAAGTTTATTCAAGTCATTAATTATGTACGCATGTACATATATATGAAATGCATTTTTAATGTTTTAAAAATAAATTCATGTCTGGAAACTGGAAATGTCATGTCAAAAAAAGTTAAATTTCACTGTGAAAAATTCCATCATGTCTGTGGATTTTATATGCACATATTTTCTCTCTGTGTGTAGGAGATAATGGATCGGATCTACAAGAATGTGATGCTAAAAGTGGAGGAAATTAGTGTTTTTCAGAGGACTCTGTTTCTGTTGGCCTACAACTATAAGATGGAGCAGCTTGCGATGGGATACAGCACCCCACTGTGTGACAGGTACATCACACACACACACACAAATACTCTAATACACACTTACATCCCCAGTGTTGGAGAAGCTTCTTTGGCTAACTACAGTCTGCTCATCAAGTAGTTAAACTACAGTAAAGCTAATGTTTCGAACTTGAACACGTATTTACATTCATATAAGCCTAATATAATGAAAACCATGTAACATGCATAATTGAATCAGCGATAATCAGCAGTATTTAGCCAAATATTTATTTCACTATTCTTGGAACACGGAGTCAAATTTTTGAACTGGTTCATTGAAATATCCTAAGAACAATCTGCCAAAATCAATTAGACTTCCCAATGCTACTCCAAAGAAAGAACCAGACATTCTACTAACAGGGCATTTGATTATTATTGGATTATTATTGAATAGCATTGCTAGTTTTAGTTACTCCTCAAGACCGGTTCTCACGGTCACCTCTTTATTCTCTCTCTCTCTTCAGGCTGGTCTTCCGGAAGGTTCGGGCGTTGTTAGGTGGACGTTTGCGGGTGTTACTGTCAGGCGGCGCACCTCTGTCTGCCGCGACCCAGCGGTTCATGAACATCTGCTTCTGCTGTCCTGTAGGTCAAGGCTACGGCCTCACGGAGACCTGCGGCGCTGGGACCATCAGCCAGCGTGAGATTCACACCATCATTCAGCATTTCAAACACTATTATGCACATTTTCATAACCTATACTAGCGTCCTAAAATTTGGGGTCAGTAAGAAGAAATTAATGCTTCTATTCAGCAAGGATGCATTAAATTAATCAAAAGTGACTGTAAAGACATTTATAATGTCACAAAAGATTTCTTTTGAATTTTCTAGTCATCAAAGAATGTTTGAAAATGTATAAC